AACCTCGTATAAAGACGTCCAATGTTTTATTTCTGTATGTCTCGACAAGCACAGCAATTGTTTCAGCATTGTAGGTTTCCGTTTTTAATTTATTCACGATGAGTGAAAATTGATGATTGACGGTAGCGTAAAATGAATCTATGCTAGAGTCGCCTTGTTTAAGCATGAACAGTTGGTGCTCGAGGGTACGCACATCTCTTTTATCGGCGTAATGCATCGACAAGCATTCCTTGATTGTTAACCAGTCTTCGTCATAGATGTTATACGATATCAAGGCCAGATCAGCCTTGCCTCTGATTTTCTGCCTGATGCTTTGTAAAATAGTCCGGTATATGGGTCTTTCTTTAACGATTTCATAATCTTTTAGTATGCTTTCTACGGCGTGCACCCAAGAGATATATTGTACTGGATCACCATCGAAATATTGGAGCTCCTTCACTCTGTCTGGGAGTCTGCTTATTTCTTTGAGTTCGTCAACGGTTTTTGGCGTTGCTAGAATTTGTTGGCTTTGTGTTTGATTACCACTAGATCCAGAAAATTCTAAATGTTGAATCCGTTGCTCCAGCCTTTTCATAAAACCTTCTTGCTCTTGTGTTAAGTCACTACCCGTTGCAGAATGTTCCAGATTTACGATACGTTGTTCTAAACTTTTGATTTGTTCTATTTGCCGGTTCACTATTCCCGTTAAATTATTGATTGCTGTGGTTAGAGCTTCCATTTTATACTCTTATATTTTTTATTTTTAAGCCTTTGAATTTGTAAAAATTTTTTTATTGAACAATAGTTCGATTTTGATTATTCGTATCAACTCTCGTTCTCCAGTAATAGGGTTTCTATGTTTTACGTGTATTGGTGGTATTGCTACCTTTACTTTTTTCGTTTATTAGTTTTCGTTTTAAATTTTAGTAGTCAAATTAATTTTGATTTCTTAATTTATTTAATTCACCGTTATTTATATTAATTTAATTTTAGTTTAATTTTTGGTTAAGTTTTTTTTTTAATTTAATTTAAATTTTTTTTTTTTTTTTTTTACTTTTATTTAAGTTTTTAATTTTTAATTATTAAGTTTATTTCAATTTTTTATTGGTTTTTATATTTAATTAATTTTTATTTAAATTAGAATTGTTAATCGTTTTTCTTTTAAATTGTTTAATTTTCCTTTTTTTAAAAAAATTTTCTTACTTTAGTATTATGAGGACTATTAAAGCGCGGGTTCGCATGTCCTATTGTTCCCGTGTTACTGAAGGTTACTTCAGGAGTCTCAGATGATTGTGTTGTGCTTTGTTCGCAGGTCGCAGATTTCTACTGGAGGCACCGTATTGTTCCTTTTTGGCTGTTAGTGTTCGAGATTTACTATCGGCCTACTGCGGTACGAGTTACGCTCACTTATGACGGGTTATTTAACCTTGTCTTCACTTGTAGAACCTTATTGTTACGACCTGTCCCTGCTCGGGCGCCAGTTACGAATTTTGTGTCAAAATTCGTTTAAAAAAAAATAATTTTATTTCGATTTTAAAATTACTTTTATAATACGTTTTATTTCTTTAAGATTACTTTTACAATACGTTTTATTTCACAACACTAGGTTAAAATTTAATATAACTTTACAATTAAATTTTAAGACTATTCTAAGACTTTAATGCTTAGTTCAATTAATGTCTAAGACTATCTAAGACTAAATTCTTAATCTAAATGTTACCTAATTTATAGTATAAAATTTGCTTATTTAGCAAATTTAATTTTATGTTATTTTCCTAACTAAAAATTTCTCACAGTACAGCGTAGACATGTCGTCAGCACTTTTTGTGGGAACATATTTTTGCGTTAAGAAATTCTCATGCTGAAATATGATGTTTGCTGGAAACGTATTTGAACATGTTTTAATATTAATATTCAGCGTAGAAGAATTCTCACGATGAAATATGTCTGATGAAACATGTTTGAACTTGTTTTAACATGCCCGCTATTTGATCCCTCGTTAACTTACATATATATATTCGCGATTTTCTGCACAAAGTGCTAATTTTAATTCACATACTTTCACGTTTTCAAGGTCTCAAATCATTGGTCATTGAGATTTGTTATGCCTATTTTGATATTGAAAAAGATTTATACCTCTCTATATTTTTCTATTCCATTTAAAACTTTTTTTTGCTAAAAATTTCTTTAAATGAGTGATAGTTGATTGAGAACTACACCTAGAAAACCTTCATTGCAAATTTTTTAAATTGTTACTACTACACTCTAAACAAACATTAACTAGCTCATCTAAACTATGATAGCCGGATTCAGCATGTGCTTCATTAACCTTGTCATCATCATCTTCATGATTCTGTAGTAAATCTTTTGGACAAGCTATATTACGACTTCTATAAAAATCTCTTTCCCTCTTCATTTCATCTAAAAAGAAATATTTCTTTTCAAAAAGTTCATATTAAAATGCAAAATATATCAACGCACTTTCTTGCAGATTCGGTACTAGTTTATATACTTAATACAAAAACTTATATATTGCAATGGATGTGACTGATGAATAACATTCTCGCATGTCGGACAAGTTTTCTTTTCTTCCAAGTGTTTTACTAAACAACTTTTGCAAACTAAAATTATGTTGTGTGTTTAATTTTTTCAATAAAAACTTTGTTTTGAAAAATATTCAATTCAAATTCCCGATATATAAAATTAAATACTCTCGAGACTTACATGTATGTAAACATTCAATGACTGTGGTTGCATCAATGAAGTAGCCTCCACATATTTTGCAAGTTATATGAGTGTTTAAAGTACGTAATCTTATTCTTCTTTCCATATTAATATTTCATATATGATTTCCCTCTTCTTCTTGAACAATTTGTTAAGCGCAGTTGCTCAGTTTAATTTTTTCAATCAAAAAGTGTTTTTGCCGCTAAAAAATTTCCTTCCCGCTTAAGTAAATCCATCAAATCTTCATAATATAATCTAATAAGTTTTTTTTCCAATATGACGTGCAGCGCTCAGCGCTATCTATTGTCAAGTATTGATATTCACACCTGGAGAATTTGTATCATAATCAATACCAACTATAAAATATATGTTTTGAGTATAATCAGTTTAATAATTTGGGCCATATTTTTTAACGCTTTCATATATAATACTGCGTTTTTACTTTACAACATGTGTCTAAACTGAACACTAAAATAAAAAAATTTTGACATACTAAATCTTCTGTCAACAAATTATAAACATGTTCTAATAATTTTATTTGCAACATGTTTATATTTGCGCGGTTTCGTGTCAAACCAAATGTATGTGTTAAACACATTTCATATTGATTTTTTTTCTTCAAATTTTATTTTACTGATCGTTTAGTGTATATGTATGTGTTTATCTACATATTCACTAAATGACCAACAAATTTAAGCTATAAATTAGACACGTCCATATGTATTTTATTTGCATACATATCCATTTTAAAAAACAAAAGGGATTTCATACTTAAAAAGCTTTTAAAATATGTAAGTTTTACAATTTTAATGCCTTTATTACATTCACACTTATGTATGTGTACGTATTCTAACTTTTTATTAATATTTTCCCATATTTTTTAGTGAGGTATAAACGACCACAAAATAAATGCACACAAAGTAATTTATGTTTATGTAGCTGTCAATAAAAAAGCAAAGTATAATAAATTGTAAGAATCATAGAATCCAAGCACAAACATAGTCTGTTAGATTCAAATAAAATACATATGGATTGGTTTTATAATAATTATACTAAAAAAAAACAAGTAAAGTTTTCGAAAAAATTGGCAAAATAATATAAAAAATTAAAATTCCAAAATTAGAACGAAAGCACGAAAAAAATCTTCCTTAAATTACTCACATTTTGAAAGATATAAAAATTGGAAGCGTACTAACCCGTTTCATCATTCAAAAAATTTGCATTTTTATTTTTCAAAATGAAAACATTATTATTTGCAAATAAAAATTTTGTTTTTTTAAGCTTTATGTTTAATATTATAAAATATAAATTGTAAAACTAAACGAAATTAATGTAATTTTTTTTATTTTCAAGTGATTATTAAAAAACTTAATTTAAAATGCTACTATTGGTACAAAAATAATTGATTAAAACACGAGTATCTGAGGAATCACCCCACGAATGCTTTAACACCAGTTACGGACCACTTTGTACATTAAATTCATTAATATACATGAATATATCTTAAACTTATATTATTTTGCCTTAATATTCTGAGTTATACATTATATTGATCACTATATTTATTTTTAAAAACAATTTAAAAAACGCCGTCGGGTAACATATACAAATTTTAATGTATGATTTTTACCCAAAAGTTCTTCATTGCATAAAATATCAATCTAAAAAATAAATAATTATTTGAAATTTCACAAATATTTCAAAATATTAGGCAAAACAGAATATGTCAATTCTCAATTATATTAATTTTCAAAGAGCCCTTAAATTTATTTTAACTAAAATAAAACTTGACAATAAATTTAAATGCGTACATATATATATTCGCGATTTTCTGCACAAAGTGCTAATTTTAATTCACATACTTTCACGTTTTCAAGGTCTCAAATCATTGGTCATTGAGATTTGTTATGCCTATTTTGATATTGAAAAAGATTTATACCTCTCTATATTTTTCTATTCCATTTAAAACTTTTTTTTGCTAAAAATTTCTTTAAATGAGTGATAGTTGATTGAGAACTACACCTAGAAAACCTTCATTGCAAATTTTTTAAATTGTTACTACTACACTCTAAACAAACATTAACTAGCTCATCTAAACTATGATAGCCGGATTCAGCATGTGCTTCATTAACCTTGTCATCATCATCTTCATGATTCTGTAGTAAATCTTTTGGACAAGCTATATTACGACTTCTATAAAAATCTCTTTCCCTCTTCATTTCATCTAAAAAGAAATATTTCTTTTCAAAAAGTTCCCAGTAAACTTTCAACGTAAGTAAACCCAGTAAACTTTAATACTATAATCCAATAAGTTTTTTTCCAGTATGACGTTCAGCGCTATCTGTTGTCAAGTATTTATATTCAGACTGGAGAATTTATGTCATAATCAATACCAACTATAAAATTAGTGTTTTGGGTTTAATTAGCTTAATAATTTAGGCGATATTTTTTAACGTTTTCATATATAATTGGACGATTTCGGAAGTTTTTTGCTAAAACTCCGATTTTTACTTTACAATATGTGTCCAAACTGAACACTAAAATAAAAAAAATTTTGACATACTAAATCTTCTGTCAACAAATTATAAACATGTTCTAATAATTTTATTTGCAACATGTTTATATTTGCGCGGTTTCGTGTCAAACCAAATGTATGTGTTAAACACATTTCATATTGATTTTTTTTCTTCAAATTTTATTTTACTGATCGTTTAGTGTATATGTATGTGTTTATCTACATATTCACTAAATGACCAACAAATTTAAGCTATAAATTAGACACGTCCATATGTATTTTATTTGCATACATATCCATTTTAAAAAACAAAAGGGATTTCATACTTAAAAAGCTTTTAAAATATGTAAGTTTTACAATTTTAATGCCTTTATTACATTCACACTTATGTATGTGTACGTATTCTAACTTTTTATTAATATTTTCCCATATTTTTTAGTGAGGTATAAACGACCACAAAATAAATGCACACAAAGTAATTTATGTTTATGTAGCTGTCAATAAAAAAGCAAAGTATAATAAATTGTAAGAATCATAGAATCCAAGCACAAACATAGTCTGTTAGATTCAAATAAAATACATATGGATTGGTTTTATAATAATTATACTAAAAAAAAACAAGTAAAGTTTTCGAAAAAATTGGCAAAATAATATAAAAAATTAAAATTCCAAAATTAGAACGAAAGCACGAAAAAAATCTTCCTTAAATTACTCACATTTTGAAAGATATAAAAATTGGAAACGTACTAACCCGTTTCATCATTCAAAAAATTTGCATTTTTATTTTTCAAAATGAAAACATTATTATTTGCAAATAAAAATTTTGTTTTTTTAAGCTTTATGTTTAATATTATAAAATATAAATTGTAAAACTAAACGAAATTAATGTAATTTTTTTTATTTTCAAGTGATTATTAAAAAACTTAATTTAAAATGCTACTATTGGTACAAAAATAATTGATTAAAACACGAGTATCTGAGGAATCACCCCACGAATGCTTTAACACCAGTTACGGACCACTTTGTACATTAAATTCATTAATATACATGAATATATCTTAAACTTATATTATTTTGCCTTAATATTCTGAGTTATACATTATATTGATCACTATATTTATTTTTAAAAACAATTTAAAAAACGCCGTCGGGTAACATATACAAATTTTAATGTATGATTTTTACCCAAAAGTTCTTCATTGCATAAAATATCAATCTAAAAAATAAATAATTATTTGAAATTTCACAAATATTTCAAAATATTAGGCAAAACAGAATATGTCAATTCTCAATTATATTAATTTTCAAAGAGCCCTTAAATTTATTTTAACTAAAATAAAACTTGACAATAAATTTAAATGCGTACATATATATATTCGCGATTTTCTGCACAAAGTGCTAATTTTAATTCACATACTTTCACGTTTTCAAGGTCTCAAATCATTGGTCATTGAGATTTGTTATGCCTATTTTGATATTGAAAAAGATTTATACCTCTCTATATTTTTCTATTCCATTTAAAACTTTTTTTTGCTAAAAATTTCTTTAAATGAGTGATAGTTGATTGAGAACTACACCTAGAAAACCTTCATTGCAAATTTTTTAAATTGTTACTACTACACTCTAAACAAACATTAACTAGCTCATCTAAACTATGATAGCCGGATTCAGCATGTGCTTCATTAACCTTGTCATCATCATCTTCATGATTCTGTAGTAAATCTTTTGGACAAGCTATATTACGACTTCTATAAAAATCTCTTTCCCTCTTCATTTCATCTAAAAAGAAATATTTCTTTTCAAAAAGTTCATATTAAAATGCAAAATATATCAACGCACTTTCTTGCAGATTCGGTACTAGTTTATATACTTAATACAAAAACTTATATATTGCAATGGATGTGACTGATGAATAACATTCTCGCATGTCGGACAAGTTTTCTTTTCTTCCAAGTGTTTTACTAAACAACTTTTGCAAACTAAAATTATGTTGTGTGTTTAATTTTTTCAATAAAAACTTTGTTTTGAAAAATATTCAATTCAAATTCCCGATATATAAAATTAAATACTCTCGAGACTTACATGTATGTAAACATTCAGTGACTGTGGTTGCATCAATGAAGTAGCCTCCACATATTTTGCAAGTTATATGAGTGTTTAAAGTACGTAATCTTATTCTTCTTTCCATATTAATATTTCATATATGATTTCCCTCTTCTTCTTGAACAATTTGTTAAGCGCAGTTGCTCAGTTTAATTTTTTCAATCAAAAAGTGTTTTTGCCGCTAAAAAATTTCCTTCCCGCTTAAGTAAATCCATCAAATCTTCATAATATAATCTAATAAGTTTTTTTTCCAATATGACGTGCAGCGCTCAGCGCTATCTATTGTCAAGTATTGATATTCACACCTGGAGAATTTGTATCATAATCAATACCATCTATAAAATATATGTTTTGAGTATAATCAGTTTAATAATTTGGGCCATATTTTTTAACGCTTTCATATATAATACTGCGTTTTTACTTTACAATATGTGTCCAAACTGAACACTAAAATAAAAAAAATTTTGACATTCTAAATCTTCTGTCAACAAATTATAAACATGTTCTAATAATTTTATTTGCAACATGTTTATATTTGCGCGGTTTCGTGTCAAACCAAATGTATGTGTTAAACACATTTCATATTGATTTTTTTTCTTCAAATTTTATTTTACTGATCGTTTAGTGTATATGTATGTGTTTATCTACATATTCACTAAATGACCAACAAATTTAAGCTATAAATTAGACACGTCCATATGTATTTTATTTGCATACATATCCATTTTAAAAAACAAAAGGGATTTCATACTTAAAAAGCTTTTAAAATATGTAAGTTTTACAATTTTAATGCCTTTATTACATTCACACTTATGTATGTGTACGTATTCTAACTTTTTATTAATATTTTCCCATATTTTTTAGTGAGGTATAAACGACCACAAAATAAATGCACACAAAGTAATTTATGTTTATGTAGCTGTCAATAAAAAAGCAAAGTATAATAAATTGTAAGAATCATAGAATCCAAGCACAAACATAGTCTGTTAGATTCAAATAAAATACATATGGATTGGTTTTATAATAATTATACTAAAAAAAAACAAGTAAAGTTTTCGAAAAAATTGGCAAAATAATATAAAAAATTAAAATTCCAAAATTAGAACGAAAGCACGAAAAAAATCTTCCTTAAATTACTCACATTTTGAAAGATATAAAAATTGGAAACGTACTAACCCGTTTCATCATTCAAAAAATTTGCATTTTTATTTTTCAAAATGAAAACATTATTATTTGCAAATAAAAATTTTGTTTTTTTAAGCTTTATGTTTAATATTATAAAATATAAATTGTAAAACTAAACGAAATTAATGTAATTTTTTTTATTTTCAAGTGATTATTAAAAAACTTAATTTAAAATGCTACTATTGGTACAAAAATAATTGATTAAAACACGAGTATCTGAGGAATCACCCCACGAATGCTTTAACACCAGTTACGGACCACTTTGTACATTAAATTCATTAATATACATGAATATATCTTAAACTTATATTATTTTGCCTTAATATTCTGAGTTATACATTATATTGATCACTATATTTATTTTTAAAAACAATTTAAAAAACGCCGTCGGGTAACATATACAAATTTTAATGTATGATTTTTACCCAAAAGTTCTTCATTGCATAAAATATCAATCTAAAAAATAAATAATTATTTGAAATTTCACAAATATTTCAAAATATTAGGCAAAACAGAATATGTCAATTCTCAATTATATTAATTTTCAAAGAGCCCTTAAATTTATTTTAACTAAAATAAAACTTGACAATAAATTTAAATGCGTACATATATATATTCGCGATTTTCTGCACAAAGTGCTAATTTTAATTCACATACTTTCACGTTTTCAAGGTCTCAAATCATTGGTCATTGAGATTTGTTATGCCTATTTTGATATTGAAAAAGATTTATACCTCTCTATATTTTTCTATTCCATTTAAAACTTTTTTTTGCTAAAAATTTCTTTAAATGAGTGATAGTTGATTGAGAACTACACCTAGAAAACCTTCATTGCAAATTTTTTAAATTGTTACTACTACACTCTAAACAAACATTAACTAGCTCATCTAAACTATGATAGCCGGATTCAGCATGTGCTTCATTAACCTTGTCATCATCATCTTCATGATTCTGTAGTAAATCTTTTGGACAAGCTATATTACGACTTCTATAAAAATCTCTTTCCCTCTTCATTTCATCTAAAAAGAAATATTTCTTTTCAAAAAGTTCATATTAAAATGCAAAATATATCAACGCACTTTCTTGCAGATTCGGTACTAGTTTATATACTTAATACAAAAACTTATATATTGCAATGGATGTGACTGATGAATAACATTCTCGCATGTCGGACAAGTTTTCTTTTCTTCCAAGTGTTTTACTAAACAACTTTTGCAAACTAAAATTATGTTGTGTGTTTAATTTTTTCAATAAAAACTTTGTTTTGAAAAATATTCAATTCAAATTCCCGATATATAAAATTAAATACTCTCGAGACTTACATGTATGTAAACATTCAGTGACTGTGGTTGCATCAATGAAGTAGCCTCCACATATTTTGCAAGTTATATGAGTGTTTAAAGTACGTAATCTTATTCTTCTTTCCATATTAATATTTCATATATGATTTCCCTCTTCTTCTTGAACAATTTGTTAAGCGCCGTTGCTCAGCTTAAATTTTTCTTTCCGTTTTCTTCTAAATGTTTATAAAGACGAACCAATTTGGCAGGTTTTCCAAATTTTTCTCTCTTAAATTATGTGAAACCACATATATTTGTTTTACGTTTTATTATTTTGGTGAAATTTAAAATCTAAAATATTTACGGACTTAATTTCCCTGTTCACAATCATGATCTCTCTCTTATTATGTAGCTTCTAAAACATGTTTAAAATATAAAAAAGTATGTTGAATTCAAAATATATGAATTTTCAAAAAAAGCAAATTCAATGAAAAAGTGTTTTTGCCGCTAAAAAATTACAAAAATTGGTTAAAAAAATTTTTATTCCATAACAATTTCAGTATTTAGACGATATCTACTACAATTTCATATCGAAACATAAGACTATAAATTTTACTTTACAATATATGTCCGCACTGAACACTAAAATAAAAAAATTTTGACATACTAAATCTTCTGTCAAGAAATTATAAACATGTTCTAATTATTTTATTTGCAACATGTTTATATTTGCGCGGTTTCGTGTCAAACCAAATGTATGTGTTAAACACATTTCATATTGATTTTTTTTCTTCAAATTTTATTTTACTGATCGTTTAGTGTATATGTATGTGTTTATCTACATATTCACTAAATGACCAACAAATTTAAGCTATAAATTAGACACGTCCATATGTATTTTATTTGCATACATATCCATTTTAAAAAACAAAAGGGATTTCATACTTAAAAAGCTTTTAAAATATGTAAGTTTTACAATTTTAATGCCTTTATTACATTCACACTTATGTATGTGTACGTATTCTAACTTTTTATTAATATTTTCCCATATTTTTTAGTGAGGTATAAACGACCACAAAATAAATGCACACAAAGTAATTTATGTTTATGTAGCTGTCAATAAAAAAGCAAAGTATAATAAATTGTAAGAATCATAGAATCCAAGCACAAACATAGTCTGTTAGATTCAAATAAAATACATATGGATTGGTTTTATAATAATTATACTAAAAAAAAACAAGTAAAGTTTTCGAAAAAATTGGCAAAATAATATAAAAAATTAAAATTCCAAAATTAGAACGAAAGCACGAAAAAAATCTTCCTTAAATTACTCACATTTTGAAAGATATAAAAATTGGAAACGTACTAACCCGTTTCATCATTCAAAAAATTTGCATTTTTATTTTTCAAAATGAAAACATTATTATTTGCAAATAAAAATTTTGTTTTTTTAAGCTTTATGTTTAATATTATAAAATATAAATTGTAAAACTAAACGAAATTAATGTAATTTTTTTTATTTTCAAGTGATTATTAAAAAACTTAATTTAAAATGCTACTATTGGTACAAAAATAATTGATTAAAACACGAGTATCTGAGGAATCACCCCACGAATGCTTTAACACCAGTTACGGACCACTTTGTACATTAAATTCATTAATATACATGAATATATCTTAAACTTATATTATTTTGCCTTAATATTCTGAGTTATACATTATATTGATCACTATATTTATTTTTAAAAACAATTTAAAAAACGCCGTCGGGTAACATATACAAATTTTAATGTATGATTTTTACCCAAAAGTTCTTCATTGCATAAAATATCAATCTAAAAAATAAATAATTATTTGAAATTTCACAAATATTTCAAAATATTAGGCAAAACAGAATATGTCAATTCTCAATTATATTAATTTTCAAAGAGCCCTTAAATTTATTTTAACTAAAATAAAACTTGACAATAAATTTAAATGCGTACATATATATATTCGCGATTTTCTGCACAAAGTGCTAATTTTAATTCACATACTTTCACGTTTTCAAGGTCTCAAATCATTGGTCATTGAGATTTGTTATGCCTATTTTGATATTGAAAAAGATTTATACCTCTCTATATTTTTCTATTCCATTTAAAACTTTTTTTTGCTAAAAATTTCTTTAAATGAGTGATAGTTGATTGAGAACTACACCTAGAAAACCTTCATTGCAAATTTTTTAAATTGTTACTACTACACTCTAAACAAACATTAACTAGCTCATCTAAACTATGATAGCCGGATTCAGCATGTGCTTCATTAACCTTGTCATCATCATCTTCATGATTCTGTAGTAAATCTTTTGGACAAGCTATATTACGACTTCTATAAAAATCTCTTTCCCTCTTCATTTCATCTAAAAAGAAATATTTCTTTTCAAAAAGTTCATATTAAAATGCAAAATATATCAACGCACTTTCTTGCAGATTCGGTACTAGTTTATATACTTAATACAAAAACTTATATATTGCAATGGATGTGACTGATGAATAACATTCTCGCATGTCGGACAAGTTTTCTTTTCTTCCAAGTGTTTTACTAAACAACTTTTGCAAACTAAAATTATGTTGTGTGTTTA